CTCTCTCTCTCTCTCTCTCTCTCTCTCTCTCTCTCTCTCTCTCTCTCTCTCTCTCTCCCCCCCTTACCTTCTAAGTCTAAGTCTACTCCTGAGTTCTCCTACTGGACTACTACGAGTATGAAGGATGGTTACGAGTTCTGATGATATTGGAGACAGCGACATTGGGACTGTAGGTTGAGGACTACTCTTGGCATCTGATTTCATCTTCCTCCGAAGATGTACCTTGACATTGTGGGATCGATATCTGAGACACTGTGAGACTCTGTGTTCGCGACATTTCGGATTTTCGCTACTTCTGACACTTCAAGCTACTATCTTTGGAAACATTGAGTTGACGTCATCTTCCCTCTCCTCCTCCCTTCGTCTCTCCTCCCTCCATTCATCTGTGCATAAGAATCGCCCCGGCCTTTTCTCCAATGTCCAAGGCCCGGGCTTCACACCACCGATGTATGTTTGTGAGTGTTTCGTTGCAGTCTGAGTCAGGTCCAAGTCAATCCATGTATCTCAAGTCTTCCGCTCTATCTGTATTTGTATTAACTCTGTATTATCTGGTCGGTTCTGGGAATCTGAGCCATACTTATGACTGTGTTTCACGAGTATGCAACAAGGCGCATGAAGTGCTCAGCCTAGACAAGACAGCCACCTCTAGCAAAGCCTTTTTTTTTCCCGGATATCTGTGAAACAACAGAGTAGGAGAAGGCGTCCTTCGGGACATCCGTTAAAATTGGAACGATACAGAGAAGATTAGCATGGCCCCTGCTCAAGGATGACACGCATAAATCGCGAAATGGTCTAAATTAAAAACAAAAAAAAAACAGAGTAGGAGAAGAAAGGATGAAGGCGAGCAAGAATGTGCCCACATCTTCTTTTTCTTTGCTCTTCTACATTCGAACTTTCTTCGGACATTTCTAGGTTTGAGAACACCGACTCCACGGTCTTCATCACGTTGAGCCTGCCTTTGCACTTTTTGTTCTCATGTGAGTTTGCGAGAAATTGAGTCCCTCGTATTTACTGATTCATGTATGGACATGTGTCCATTTCTGTGCATGACAGTATAACGTTCATTGCAGATTTTTGCCTCCTTGCACTTCCATGGCCACAAGACAATTGCTAATGTTTATTTCACAGCTTTGCCCTGATATGTGCATACGAATGAGGGCATACTCGCACTAGGATTGTACTCGCACTAGGATTTTTCTTTTTTTTGTTCACGGACATAATTGCGGTCAGATACATCCAGGTCGGCCGACTGGGCTGTTACAATAGCATTGCGGAAGACTCTTCTTTTGAGGCCAATAAGGCCCAGAAACAGCTGGCCGACTGGGCTGTTACAGTAGGATTGGACCACACATTTAAGGGCCCGGAGGAGAGGTTTGCCGATCTAGAGAGAGCCAAGAATGCTACCGCAGAGCTTGTGAGGATAGGCCAGTCAGAGTGGCAGGGATCCCTCTCCAAGCTCTACGCAGTTTGGGAAAGGCTAACCTCTACACCTCACAAATGGTTACCAGGTACCCTCACTTTTCACCCCTAGGGTAACCTTCACATCCATGAAAAGTGCAGTGGGGATCATGTTTTTTTTTTTTTTTTTTTTTTTTTTTTGCCTGTTTTCTGCTAACCATTTGTGCTCTGGAGCTGATTTGCGCCTTTCATGGCGCTTACCGGTTTCCGAGCCGAAGTCAGAAAGGCCTGGTCTGCGAATCCTCCTGCACCTTGTCCAGCTGAGGGAGTCAATCCTCTCTGGTCAAGTCCTATAAAGTCTTCCGCAGAGTCCAGAGCGTGCCACACCTCCTTTGCTTTTCCTCTGACTTTGAGAAGGGGAGGTGCTTCCTGCCCGCGAAGCGGACTGGATTTGGAGTTTGGCCTCCAGATCCAAGACTGCTCTGCCAAAGGCCTTCCAATCCTTGTGACCTGCAGAAAATAGGGCCTGCTCATAAGCTGGTCAAATCCTGCAAAGTCTCCCGCAGAGTCCATCACGTGCTACCTCCCTTTGCTTTTCCTCTTGAATCTGAGGAGGGGAAGTGCTTCCCCTGGGAAGTGGACTGGATGTGAGTGAGTTTGGCGTCAAGATCCAAGGCTGCTCTGCCAAAGGCCCGCCAATCCTTGTGACCTGCAGAAAATATGGCCTGCTCATAAGTTATAGGGGTAGCCTGGACAAACAATCGCGATTTGTCCTGGTCTGACATGGATAACCCAGGTGTAGGACAGAAGGTTAACCGACCCCCCAGTTTTCACCCCCATTTATTAAAAAAAAACAAAGGGTCATTTTAACAATACTTCACACACTTCTTACTAACTTATTGTAAAAAAACAATCAGCAAATTGAAATGTTGGTAAAATTTCATGAAAGTGCACTTTTGCCTTGCTGTTTTATTTATATGTTTTTAATTATTATTTTTCTAGGGAGATTTCCCGGGCGCCCGGGTCCCCATGTCATGCCCGGGTCGGCGACCGGGCGCCCGGCCGGTCGCGAGGCCCGGTCGGGGTCCCGGGCCCGTTTTGCACAACCAAAAAAAAAATCGAAAAAGACCCATTTTCGGGCCTGGGGGCCACCTGCGGGCCTGCGGACCCCCCGGGCTCACAAATTTTTTTTTTTTGGGCGCTCTGCCGGCCCCGAACCAGACCCCGAATGAAAAAGACTCTCGGGCCGTCGATCATCAAGATGACGGCTGGGAAATCACGCGGGGTGATGGACTTCGCCCACGCGATTTCGCGTGGCGTTCGAAGTCGAACACTTGCGCGAAATCGCGCGGGCAAAGTCCATCACCCCGCGCGATTTCGAAGTCGACTCCAGCGCGCCCTCCCGCTGCCCGTCGCCCGTCACACCGCCACGCCCTCCCGCTGCCCGTCGTCACAACCAGGTACGCCGTATTCTTCTTCTTCTTCTTCTTCTTCTTCTTCTTCTTCTGTCGTGTGTGTGTGTGTGTGTGTGTGTGTGAGAGAGAGAGAGAGGGAGGGAGGGAGAGAGAGAGAGAGAGGGAGAGGCCGCCTTTCGACGTCGCGGCCCCACCGCTA